AAGAAATATAGGCACTTCTACTCAACACCAAACAAAGCCAACAACAAAACTCCAGAAGACTTTTGTTTGAGAGAACCCCATGTGAAGAACCTATGAAACCCAAGAGTCTTCTTTTCTCACAAGGCTTTATGGAACCCAATTTATGATAGAACAGAGGAAGTTCATGCACCAAGTGGGGATGCAGCTTACCCAAAATTCTTGGGAGGGCTATCCCTTCTCCGGTCATGTGGGTGGCTTTAAAAGGGATGGCTTGATCCTCCAAATGTGTAGAAGATACGGCTGTCAGCAAGTACTAGTCATTGCATCTCCTCAATAGGCAAAAGCATGCGTTTGAAAGCAAATTGCTAGAGAGCAACAGTGGGAGAATAGTCCTGGCCTCCTACTTTGTTTTGGGGGGGCTTCTTGGGGGCATTGGATTTGATGCTGTGAGAATCAGGTCACCTTCAGTCTGACATGGCAGGTGTTCTCTAATGAGTAATTTGTAAATTAAGACACGAGTTGCATTATGAACACATGAGAAACGAGTTGCATTATGAACACATGAGAAACAGGTGCCGCAGTTGTGTGATGTTCATGAGAGAAGCAAAAATATGAACAAAACTTTCTTCTTCGGAAAACAGCTATGTTTGTTTGTACTTCATCTTTCTCCTTAAAATGGGACATGGTGGCGCTGTGGGTTTAACCGCAGAAGCCTCTGTACTGCAAGGTCAGAAGACCAGCAGACGTAAGATTGAATCCACATGACGGAGTGAGCTCCCGTCACTTGTCCCAGCTCTTGCCAACCAAGCAGTTCGAAAGCATGTAAAAATATGAGTAGATAAATAGGTACCACCTTGGTGGGAATGTAAAGGCATTCCATGTCTAGCTGGCCATGTGACCATGGAAACTATCTATGGACAAACACTGGCTCTATGGCTTGGAATCGGGGATGAGCACCACGCCCTAGAGTCGGACAGGACTGGACTAAATGTCAAGGGAAACCTTTACCCTTACCTTCTCCTTAAAAAGGACCCAAGGTGGCTTACATAATTAAAA